GGTTTAGGGCTTATATGGTTTAGGGGCTTCGGTGCCAAGTCTTCAAAAAAACCGAGGCCGCTTAGCTGCAGCTCCGACGTCCTGTAGTCCGAAGCCGCCGAACCGAAAACCGAAAATCCTGCGCACCGACACTCCAGAGCCCCAACCCCCTAGCAGGGTCGCTGCAGCTGATGCCTGAAGCCTCGAGCCCACCGAACCGAGGGAGCTTTAAGCCTATCAGACTCAAGGCACGTCCTGCCCACTTCGTAAGACGCATCCTGTCTCGGAGTCTCGGGGTGCTTAGGAGGATCTCGGGCTTAGGGTGGAGGGCCATGATGCGGTAGAAACCTAGACCCTGAACCCTGAACCCTAATCGCCCTAGAAAAAAACGATCAAAAGTCTGACAACGCCGCCCCAAAAGGAAGCTGCTGAAGTCCTGGCTGGCACCTGTCATGCCGCAGCTGACTGCGCTGTCACCGCGGCTTGGACCCATCTGGGGTTTAGGACTCTGATCTGCACCGAAACCATGACGGGAAGCTGGATTTTTTAGAGGGTTTTGGGACTCTTCCGTGTTATAACGGGGGTTGGGGGATGCCTCAAGTTGGATCCGCAATGAGTTCGGGAATACTCCGACATTTTCAGGACTTGGGTGTGCCCGGGCGCCTGCGAATCCGACCCCCAAAGTCTGGAGTTCGAGGATTCGCTGGGGCGGAAGAGGGAAGAGGGTTTGACACTCGGGTTTCCGGTTCAGGGGTCTAGGGCTCGGGTGCCTGCACGTTGATCTCAGACAGGGTCGTAGATGAGGAAGTGGAGTGTTAATATCCTTCTTAAAACTTTGTCGTCCTTATATAATACATCCGAAGTCCATCTTCCAGAATTTGTAACTCCCTATGTCTTTCTGTTATCAACATCAGGAACCTTCGCCTGAAATCCCCAAGCCTGCTGGCCTGCCCTGTGGCCCAAAACTCTTTGCATCCTGAAGTCCTCATCCATACGGCTCCAGAGCCCGACACCTTGAAAAATACGCCGATGCTGAGAATCTCGAACGCCCTCCTACGCTGCAAAGGCCGCGCGCTGCGTGGTCTGTTCAGGAGGCGGTGACGGAAGCCTTTGGTGTTGGGGTTTGGTCCTACCCTAGCCTGACCCCCGATCGAGCTCAGCAGTTCCTACACCCGGTCGATATTTGGGTGTAGACAAATTACACATCAGACACAATATGGTACTTGAGCTGCTGCAGGGTCTTGTCCATCAGCAATCTGAGCAACTTTTGCTCTAATTCTAAGCCCTCTCGAAGGTTCATGTGGTAGTAAGGGGTAACTGTCATCGGCATTGACAAATAATTAGTGTTGTTGTGTACGTGCTCAAGCCGGGTAGCTGGGTTGAGGCATCGTTTCTCTTCGGCAGTGTTGTCGTGGTGTACGTAATCCGAAATGGTTTCGGGCCTCTTCCATTCGCGTCGCCAGCTGCTGTCCGTCAGGACGGTGGCAGCGGTGCTTTGCTCACCTCTCGACGAACCCTGGATATCGTGCCAGGGCTTCCATTCATTCTGAAGGATATACAAGAGTATAGAGTTTGCTAGCAAAGCGGAGCAATAAGAAAGAGTCCGCTGCCCCGTGCTTCGTTCTTGATGCCATTGGACCATTGGATTCCTGAATTCCCATAACTTTAACTTTCAAACCGAATAAGCCCTACTGTCTGCGTGCCTATCAATCCTTCAGTTCTGTCAATACTTCGGTCTATCAATCTGTCGGTTTGTCTGTCTGTCTCTCTATGTATCCATCTATCTATTTATCTATCTAGCTATCTATCTATTGATCTATCCATCGACCTATCTACGTATCTGAACTATCTCTCTATCTACCTCTCTATCTATCTATCCATCCATCTATCTATCTGTCTGTTTGTCTGCCTGCCTGCCTGCCTGCCTGCCTGCCTGCCTGTCTGTTTGTCTGTCTGTCTGTACGTCTGTTTATTCGTCTTTCTATGTCGATATCTATGTACCTACCTACCGAGCTATCTATCCATCCATCTATCTATCTCTGTACTATGTGCCATATATATATATATACACACACGCACGCAAAGTTGTCTTTGTAATGATGGTCATCACGTTCCGAGGAATCGATTCCTGGAGTTGATGGGCTGCTTTGCCGCATTTCGCTCCGGGAGGAGCGTGCGGGCAAGCGGCTCGGCCAAAAACAAGCAGTATTGCTTAGGCTCTAGGGTTCATTGTTTCCTTGTGTTGCTTTGTTGTGGTCTCCCCTCTTATGTTTCTCCGGTTTTGGCGTGTAAGCATGTGCATGTGCACTTGTACATGTGTTCATCTTCGCGACGATGTCTACGACAGAGAGTTCTCTGAGGGCGCGTGTGTGTGTGTGATGACAGAAGCACGGACACATGGTCGTTTTTGTTGCTCTGCTGTTGAGGATGACTTAATTACACTTCATTTGGTATCTACCTTGGGCTTGAGACTCGCACCTCGGGGCTCCAAACCCATGTATGTCTGCAACACTGGCACCTGATCCTTGCAACATTCCTCTCTTCGGAATCAGCTACGGCTCAAGGGCCCGCTGGAGTGCAGACCGGCTTTCTCCTCAGATTAGGACCGCCATGGCTCCCTCCACTCAGCAGCTTGCCGTCGCTGCCGTGGCCGCCGCGGGCTGCACGGCTTTCGTGGCCGCGCCAAGCACCGCCCGAGGGCCCACACTGCGCAGGACGACCCAGGGCCGAGCCTCTTCCTCTTCCTCCTCCTCCGGCACCTTGAGACATCTTAAGCTGAGTTTTGAAGCTCTTCTTCTCTTGATGGTCACAGTTATATGTCATATCATGTTCTACTAAAAGTATATTCATTAAGATTACCCTTCACCTGAAATACCCTTATGTTCATGCTCTTCAAACTTCTCTGGGCTCTTTGCAAGGTACTGGCCTGGCAATCTGTGGCCTCGGCGCCGCAGTGGGCGCCGCCATCGCTGTGCCAAAGAAGGAGCGGGTACCTGCGGCCACAAGTCCTTTTTTTAGGTGTTCTCTTGTCTTCTTATCGGAAACTGTGAGGGATTACGGCTTTAGGCTTTGCGGCTTTCGGGAGTTAAGCTTGGTTTAGGGTTGCCTCCCGTCACACTCCACACATGAAGCTCCGCTCTTTCCTCTCTCTTTCTCTCGACACTGTATAACTGTACCTCCCGACATGATTTCTTAGACTTCGGGTCTGGGGTTTACATGTCCAAACCAGTTGGGCTTACAAGCAGCTACAGGCAGAGTTACCCTCGATTTGGTCCCTCCCCCCAAGCAGGCAGCAATGTGGACACCGGCAGCTCTTTTGTCATAGTATGGAGAGGCCCCATGCTGTGCATGAAAATCCTGAGACCGAAGCCGCAACAGACCCCAACTTCCAAGGACCTGGCAAACTGGACCCTAAATCCTAATCCTATAAGCCTTCGAGGGCCCCGAAAAGCTGAAATCCCGAGGCGCAAGATGCCCCGGGTTTATCATTTAATTTAAGGTCTCAGGGGCTTCACATAGAATCAGAAGCCGGAAGAATTGTCAATACTATTCGTTAGGGTTCCTCTTACTACCCATAGGCCCCTAAGTAGTTCCTTTTTGTGGTTCATAGTTAGAATCCTATAAGGTAATCCCCAAAAGGACTACTTAGGGGCCTATGGGTAAGCATTAGGCTCTCTGCATGAGGTCGCTCTTCGTGCTTTCGAGACAGAGCTGGGGGTCCAGCCGCCGGCGGGATTTTGGGATCCACTAGGCGGGAAGAGGGTGGAGGGTTTTGTGGGCACTGGGGTATTTGGGGGTTTTAGGGTTTCTGCTTTGAGGGTTCAAGGGCAATTCGGGTTTTGAGGTGTGGGCATGGAGGAAAAGTAATAAGTATCCTCTTTTGTCGTATGGTGTGTTCTTCCAGAGTTTTGTTGGAAGGTCTAAACAGTAGCACTATCCCAAATCTTCAAGCCTTGCACAACATCCCAGGTGTTTGTTAATGTACTTGCAGGCTGCAAAAAAGTAGAACCGTGGCCATACCACAGACATTGAAGCTGATGTTCTGGTCACGCTTTTGTCATTGCTGTCGCTTGCATTAGGAACTTGATCCTGGCGGGGTTTCTCAGAGGCTGCAGGGGGAGAATTATTTTGGGCCCGGCGCGGGGCATTGAGATTCACGTCGAACACTCAAAACATGGACTGTCGGGATCAGGCTTCACCAAGGGAGGTGATGCGGCATCCTTCCGCCGTCGACGATACGTGGAGCTGAAGCATGGGCGGGTTGCCATGTTGGCATGCCTTGGATACATCGTCCCTGAGTAACTCAAAATAACGGAGAGCATGTATTTGTTTGTCTCGCTGTGGGCGAATTAATGCATACATAAATAACGGCAGACAGACAGACGGATAGACAGACATATAGACATATATCTGTATGTACAAATACATACATAAATAAATAAATAAATAAGTAAATATAGATATAAATAAATATATATATATGTATATGTCTTCACATATTTGTTCTACATACTCCTACCATCCTAAATCACATAGAGCGTAAACCGGACCTCATGTGGCAAGTCCGAGTTGTGAAAGCGTAAACCCACGTTTCACAACTTGTGCACCTTCTTTGGGTCAGGGAGCTCAGCAACTAAGGTACTACCGCTGGCCAGGTGAATTGTCTCCTTCTCTTGGCCTCAAGTTCACGGATGTTCCTACTGGCTTCGCAGCTTTCTCCAAGGCTGGCTCCACCCACAGTAATGTACATGTGTACGAATGTATATAATACATAAATGAACAAGCAAACAGATAGGCAAAGATGTATAAAACAACTCGATATATATATATATATATTCGTACACCTATACATGTACATATATATATATGTGTGTATATATATATATGTAAACATGTATATGTATATGTATGTATATATATATGTATATATATATATATGTATGTGTGTATATAAACACTTACACATTTACATATATACATATACATACATATATATATATATATACATACAGATAGATAGATCGATCGATCGATATGTATGTGTAGCACCGGCCTGCAAGTAAATGCACACAGAAAACACTAATTGCTCTAGTCATCACAGGCTTCACTTCCTTAGCACACACTCGTCACAAAGCCTATAAAGCCCCGTGAGACCCGACAGATCCGAATCTCATAGATCACCCCGTCAGCCCTATGTATCCTAAATATTGAAACACCCAGACCCTACAATGCAACTTTTTCAGACTGCAATGGGGGCTCGTTCTTGCCATGCCGGGCCAAACACCAAAAAAAGCCTAGAAGCCCTGTAAAGCGGAGGTGCCGCTTAGTGGCTGGGCGCAGATGGTCTTCTTCGCCGGCAGCGTGGAGCTTTTCCAGTACGTCGACGATCCCAAGCGGGCTCCGGGCGACTCTTGGGTCCTGAGAAATTGGGATGACTTCTAAATTATGTCGAAAGGAACTCTTTCAGGGTTTAGTTTTTTTAAAAGGGTTTAGGGTTTAGGGCTCTACATATGTACATATATACATACATACATATGCACATAGGTGTGAACTTGATCAGGGGGAAGTTTTTGTTGTTTAGGATATTCTTCGGTTGAGCAGCTGCGAAGTTAATCTGAGTTACAACGCGGCAGAAGGAACTATAGGATTTTGTTATGGCATCCAGCTCTCTTGAAACAAGGGGTTGTGCGGTCTTACTGACCGGGGGTTACGGACGTTAATTTCGAGTTTTCAGAGGCTTGCATGAATTTAGGGCATCTCTGTGGTAATGGTAGCTTAAGTTCAGTTCCCGAGTCCTGAACCCTGAAGCCTTAACCCTAGACTTAGACCCTGAAGCCCGAAGCCTTCAAAAAGCACCCAGGACTTCGAGAACGCAGGTCTGCTCGGCATCCCCAATGGCTTCATGAAGGCTCCTGAGGGCCAGAAGGAGAAGAATCCGGCAGCACTGAGCCCTCAACTGCTCTCATAAACCCTACAAAATAAGCCCTAAAAATGAAATTCTTAGAAGCACCGACAGGAGAAAAAGTTGGCTGCGGAAATCGCAAACGGCCGTTTGGCAATGATGGCTATCATTGGCATGTTCTTCCAAAATGGATTGACAGGACAAGCATGGGGCGACTGGTCTCTGTATACGGACTCACCGCTACGCGCTCTGACTCCGGCGCAGGAGATCATTGCCGGGACAGGCGGCCCTCTTCCCGACAACTTCTGGGATCCCGCAGGCATCACCAATGGGAAGACCGAGAAGGAGATCGCAATGCTCCGGGCCATGGAGCTGAAACACGGACGCGTGGCAATGCTTGCAGTGCTCCACTGGTTCCACGTGGCCGCAGGTTACCACCTCTTGGGTGACTATGCCATTGGTGAGAGGATGAGCAACGACCCCCTCGTCAGCCTGACCCAGCTGCCCATGGGAGGCATGTGGCAGGTGATCTTCACCATCATGTGCTTAGAGTGGCTGACCACCTACATCTGCAAACCTCCTGAGGACCGGCCCTGGGACGTGCTCGGATGGAAGGGCATCATCGATGAGGACTACCCCTCTGAGATCTGGAACGGCTGGAAGCGCGTGCAGTGCCAAGAGCTGAACAACAGCCGCCTGGCCATGGTGGCCATCACCGGACTCGTGGCGCAGGACGTCGTCACCGGCGACTATGTCGCAGGCGTGGGCAAGCTCTGCGGTGGGGCAGCGGTGTGCAACCAGCCCATTGACTACTCTCCTTGGCAGAAGCCAGGCTGTCCATAAAAAACCTTTTGAAATACCATAGCAGATGTTCCTGTACTTTTCGAGGGGGCCCGAAACCTAAAAGCCCAAGCTCAGGAACCTTCCTCCCATCGATGACTTCGTGGCCAACGCCCCATCTTGGGCCAACGGACCAGCCCTCTACGGCGTCAACTGATCGCCATGATGACATATCTTGCGGACTTACTGAGTGCTGAGTGTCATGAGACGTATGTGTTCTGCAAGTAACTTTCGCCCTTAACCATAAAGCCTCAAACTGCCCTAAGCCGAGTCTTTCTTTTTGACATGAGAGGGGGTCGGCTCGTGCCGATGTGACAGTACCTCATCCGTCTCACCCGGATCCGTCCGAGTTGTGAGCGCAAGACCGGCAATTCGAGGCTTTCGGGATTTGTTCGACTGGAGAAGCCCCGTGCATATGAAGACAATATCCCGAAGCCTTACTGTACGCCCAGGTCAGACCCGCACTGCCTAGGACCGGCCCTCGCAGCCCTAGTTCCGGATAGTAAACATGATGGTGTAGGTTTCAGCTCAGGGTTTTTTGGGGGATAGCCGATGTAGCCTTGCAGTGCCGGAGGAATGCCTGTTCTTGACGGCTTTCTAGCAAGATGTCCGGGAATAGCTTTATGGCTTATGGCATCTAAGTAATATAGTTTTGGCTGGAGTTTAGAAGCACCTACGATTGAACGTGCGTGCACATGTGTCTTTGAAGAGATCAAAGTAAGGCACCGCAGTGCCCGCAGCCAGCTCCGTTGGCGGGTTTCCCTGGCCAAGCGAGTGCTGTGTGCAAAGATCCAAGGCAGGACCCTGCTTTAGAGAACTACCCATATATAAGGGCACTACAAGGGTTCAGGGGTATAATACAAGGAGGCTCCTGATTTCGGGCGTTTGGGTAGAGGTTGGGTGTTTGGTGAGGGTTTTGCTTGCTTTAGGGTTGGATCGTTTGGGCTGAGCGGGATCTATGAATCAAGGTACAAAGATGTCGCCTAGAAATAAGACAGCAGCACATACAGCCTGAGTGGTGTTCCTACCCGCTTAAAATTTTAAAATGCCCTAGCCGGAAGCCCTGGGCGGCCCTAGACGCGCAAAAGAAGCCCCGATCCCCAAAGCCCATGCCAAAGTAGTGAAGCCCCGGAGCCCTAAACCCTGATCCCTAAATCCCTAAACCTTTAGGGTTTAGGTTTGGGGTTTCGGGTTTAGGGGTTTAGGGTTTAGGATTGAATGTGGAGCCTTGCCTGCCTTGTGCGAGAGTGAGAGTGGAAGCCTTGAGCGTACCGAGTCCTTGTTCGCATTGCCCATCCCTGAGTATCCTGCATCCCAAACCCTGGATTACCATCAGTCTGAGTGCCTAAAGGATCATGGGACGTACTGAGCAGGTGGTATCAAAACACTTATACCCAGTTGACGACAATAACAGCAACACTGATCCAATCTCTTACAAACCACAGGTGCCTTAAGTGGATCTTGCATTTTACGACCTTGCGTTTTCCTTCCCACATTCTGGAGAGGGCTTTGGGATGCAAAGACGATAAAAAATCCTAAGCTCTAAAGACCCCGACACCTACATGAATCAGCAAAAACACGCAGATATAAGACCCTATAGACCCTAAACCCTGTTACCCCCGAAAGGTGCTTTCGTCGCGCTCGTTACCAGCTCCGCGTCTACGGATCTGGGCCCCTGGGAGCTGCTGGTGCTCAACGCCCAGTGCCTTCGGTTCCAAACTCAAGGCATTGGGATGTGGGTAGTTCTCAAAAAAATCAGGGTCCCTTTTTCGATCCCAAGTATAGTACGGCACCCTTATAAACAACAAAACAAGAACCCTAAAAGGGACCCTAGTTTAGAGAACTACCCCATGTAGTCCTAGGATTTAGGGATTCTGCGTTTTGGAGGCCCTGAACCCTATATAAACATATACAAACCCTAAACCGTGCTGTGGAGTTTATAACCTGAACCCTATATAAACCCTAAACCGTGTTTCGGAGTTTATAAGATCATGAGCTTTAGGGCCTTGGAGGCGCTAGGGTTTGTCTCTTGCAGTCCAGGAAAAGGATCTAAGAGACCCGTCAACCGGGCATCCTCTATAGGACTATATGGGACTTTCCGAACAATTGGGTACCTTATTTTGGGGGTCCTTACAATAAGGTCCTACTATTTAGGGTACAAAATTAGGGTTCCCTATTTCGGAAACCCCTATCTATCTATCTATCTATCTATCTATATATATATATAGATCGCTTAAGATACGGGCCTGCGCCTCTGTAATTGCCAAGGGCTGTGTGGAATTAGGGCCACTGCTAGGGTTTGTAGGGTTTAGGGTTTAGTTGGTTTGGGCGGTTCGGGCATAGGTTTCATTGGGTTTAGGAGTTTCTGCGGTTTGGATGTTGAGGCCGGGGCTTTGGGTGCGAACAACATTCTGCAGGCTTCAAGGGCTGGTGCGTTCAAAGCTGTATGGGCCAGTGAGGGTTGGCATAAGTGGATCGGCCAGTAGGCCTTTCTGAAGCAGTGAGCAAGCTTCAATCGGGATAGCAGAGTTAACCCTTGTATTTAGCCCTACAGGCAGGTTGTCCTGTAGATGCCCTATGCAACTGGGCCAGGCGGCTTCGCTGGAAAACCCGTAAGGGACTCTTCACAAATCCCTAAAGGGCCCTTTTAAGACTCGACCCTGAAACACCCATGACACTTTCAAAAGATCCTTTAAGACCCAGAACTCTCACAACAGATCCCCCAAACACCCCGGAACACTTTTAAACGCTAACCCCAAAACCTAGCATACTCTGAAACGATGCGCAAACACCCAGAACGCTCTCACAAGATGCCCCGATTTTCCCAGGACGGGCCAGGATTTCCTTGAGCCCGTGTGCCTTTGACGGCAGCAAGCGATGCGACAAAAGGGGGCAGTGTAAAGGTCCTTTAAGGGATTTATGCGGCATTATTAATTACAAGGCCTCCTTGAACTGATTTACAGGGCTCCGTTAAGGGATTTGGGGTCCCTTCCAGGATTCAAGGGTTTTCTGGATTTCAGAAGGTTTGTTTAAGGCCTTGTTTAAGGCTCAGGGGTCGAGGGGTTGCGGTTTGAGGGTGTTTGACTTGTGTTCTGCAGGGCTTGAGGGTTTGGATTTCTAAGGTATACGGAGGGGCCGAGGACTAATTAGTTTGCATATGCATCCTATCTGAAGGCTAGGGCCTTGAACTTAGGATTTACGACTTGTTAAAGGAAGCCCTTACCCATTTTTCTTTTGCTCCATATAACTGAAGTTCGTTCGTTTCGTTTCTTCTGAGTCCATTGGTATCACACTGCGTTCCCATGAACATCTCTCAACCCGAGCCTTTGAGACTTACCTCCAATTGCTTGTATTTCAAGGAGTTGAGGTGTTCAGTTTGGCAGGGTCGTGACAGTACGGCCTAATTATTTTAACAAGACTCCAGAGGCCCCGCCAAAGGCTAAGGGAACTTAGGTCAATCCCTAAACCTCAAACCCTAAGAAAAAATCCCGAAACCCCTAAACCCAGGTGTCTGGGGAATGCTCCGGCGCGCTTGGACTTCTTCGAAGGCGCCTTCCTGGTGCTCGTGGAAACCGACGCCACGCTGTCACTGACCCTGGGCCGAAATAGTATAGGAGGGCTCTGAAGACTTAGGAGTAGCATTCGCTTACAATCCCTATGTCATATGTATGAATAAATAAATATGTGTATATATATATACACACATATGTACATATACATATATATATATAGAGAGAGAGAGAGTGTGTGTGTGTGTGAATGTTATAAACACACACATGTATATATATATATATATCTGTGTGTGTGTGCGTGTTTGGTTGTGTACCTGAGCACATATGCACATGCTTATATAACTGTTTTTATACATACATATACACACATACATACATACACACATACATACAAACGGACGGACGGACAGAAAGACACACATGCACATATTTACATACATATGTATAGATTTAAAATCATTAGATAGATAATTGTTTGTATAAGTGACGTGCTGTAGGGTTTATGCGTCACAAGGTTTAGGGTTTAGGGACTGCGGAATTTGCCCCGCAACTCTAACTCGCAGGATCTTACCACAGTCCGTGATTGCCAGATGTCCCACCTTGAAAGTAGTCCGGGTCTCCGTTCATCTCCTTAGAAGTCTTAGCTTCACCCGAAACTCTTGAAGCTCTCGAGCTGTGAGCGTGGAGTGGGCCAAGGTGGCACTTGGCATTGCGGGACACATCTCGGATCTTGCTCCGACGCTCGGACTGCATAGAGGGCTGCAAGGGGCATGTCGCCTGAAGGGTTATCAGGAGCAAGCCTTGCATCAAGGCATTACGGAGTTGTGCTGTGTTGCTGATGCATAGGCCTTCAAGTGGACTTTATGAATGAATGCCCATCTTGCCCACATGTGCCTGCTGCGCTGCGCAGCCATGCTCTTTCCTACAACCCACCTTAGGGCCCTTGCTCGTAGGATCGCAGATCTCCGTCTATTCATAAGGCGTGCCTCAAACCCCAAAACTGAATCCTGAGATACTTGGACCGTTTAGGGTTTAGATCCCTTGTTGGTGAAGTCGGTCTGCCAGGTTGTTCGATACCGCGTCCTTTCCACAATGCTTCTGACATGGGTGCCATGTCTGCATCAGAGCTTTCCTTGCTTCACGGATTCCATGCCCTGCTGAGGTTTAGGAACGTTCGGGACAGCATAGCCGTTTCGTCTTTGGGGGGTTGTTGGAAAAGGAGTACAGGATCTGGAGGTTTTGGGCATGTGAGTTTTTAGTTTAGAAGTTTATGGGATGGGTCGGTATGGGATTAAGGGCTTCAGGGCTTCCGGGTTTTTTGCTGCCAGATGGGTCAGTAGGGCATCATACAGAGCACTCTTTCACCCAGGGACATGTCACGATTCCTCGCCTGCCTTGCGCGAGTGTGAGAGTCGAAACCAACATACATGGACCCCCCCAGCACCCATTCACCCATTTCCCAGAAGCCCAATCCCGCCTGACCACAGTTAAGCTCTCGATCCCCTAACAAATCTGGACAGGATTAAAATTCCCCTGTAAACCCTTATAGCGCTCTTGCAAGGCGGAGAAAATGCCGCTTAGAGCACTCTCGCACTCTGACTCCAAGCCCTCAACCCTTGAACCTCTAAACCGAAACTGCCTGGTG